CTGCTCCTGCAGCTTCTTCACGGTGTCCTTCTCCTTTGCCAGCTGCTCCTGGGTTGTCTTCAACAGCTCCTGTAGTTTGGTGGCAGCACGTCCCAGATCACTCGTCAGCTTCTTCTCTTTTTCTAGTCTCTCCTGTGGGGCAGAGGGTTGAAGGGGTCCAGCCTTTGCTGACGTGCAGCCGGAAGGCCACCTGGCCGTGCCCGTGCCCGTGGGCCCGACGCCGGGGGCCCTGAGGCCCTGAGGACGTGCCTCCTGGTCACAGGACGGCAGCGATGGCCCCAAGCAGGCAGCCCGTGAGCCGGTCAGGGCTGCGCCATCCACAGCGCTGCCAGGGTGCCGGGGGATGCTCGGACGCGCACAGTTCCACACGGCGCCCTGGGGACGGGCAGCGGCGGCACACGCCTGCCAGGTGGCAAGGGTGACGGAGGGACTGAGCTCCACTTCCGCTTAAACAGCGGAGCTGACTAGTGGCTCCACGTGTGACACTGGAGACACCACCCTACTAGGCTCGACGCTGCACGAGGGGCTCCGAGGCTCCTCTCCCACCCTCCCCCCGGAGGGGCGGGGAGCCTGGGCAGGCGGCCCCCTCCTACCTTCAGCTGCGCAGCCTCCTCTGCTTCAGAGGACCCGAGGGGGCTGGTGTCGCGGAGCTTCTCCAGCTCCCCCTGCAGCCGACATGCCGAGTTCTGAGCCTTGGTGGAGAGAGGGCGGCGGGTCAGGGCGATTTGCCTCACGACCCTGACAAGCCTACTGGGGACGGGAGGGCACCCAGCACGATGGGACAACGGCTCGAGCCAACGGCCGGGACGAGCGGCCTGGACCGGACCCAGGCACACAGGAGGCAGGTGACCGATGGCGCAGATGCCCTCGGTGGCTCCAGACCCTCATCCTCCTGCCTGGGCCGCCCCACGCCCCTGGCATCCTGACCCACAGAAGGCCCGACACTCGATAGGACACGGGCAGGGCCTGACCTCCTCAAACTCAGCTGTGAGCTTCTGCCGTCGTGCCTGCTCGTCCTCCAGGAGGGCTTCTGTCCGCTCCAGCTGCGTTTTCAGCTGTGGGCAAACACACTATCGGAACCTGCTGCAGGACGCTCGTGGGCGCCCAGGGCTCCGGGTCAGGCTGAGACCGGAACCTCACCTTCCAGCCGCTCCCCGGGCTCCCCCAGCTCTTCCCTGCCTCTGTCTGGCGGTGGGAGTGCCCACAGCCAGACCACTGGGTCATCTCCAAAGCTCCCCGCTGGGGGAGGTAGTGCCCCAGCTCCCGGTACAGGGCTGGTGTGGGTGAGAAGGACGCTGGTGGGACCCCTACTAAACTCGGGCGCCTCTGATGGGACCCATGGGACAGACACCCCTCAGCCCCGCGTGCCGGGCCCCACTCAGTGTTCCCACGAGGTGGCCAGGCCACCGCTGTCCAGGCACACTGGGCAGCAGCTACTTGGACCATGGGTCTGGAGAGCAAGTGCCCCGCTAGTGCTGCCCCAGCAAAGGCCACAGTGGAAGACGGACCCCCGAGCCCAGTCCCTCCCGAGCACGCTGTTAGGATGGCGCCCCAGCCCCTCCGCGCCCTGGCTGCTACTCTGGGGCTTCCAGAACCCGGGGTCGGGGCAGGAAGGCAGGCAGTGGACGCTGCCAGTAGCCGGGGCTTAGCAGAACAGAGGCTGCCGTCCTTGTGCTCCAACTGGGGCGCAGGGGCCCGCGAGAGTGGTTAGTGACCGACATCTGGGGGCGGGCTCACCACCCTAACCTCGACGGGGTCCTGCTCTGCTGGGGGGGCCTCTGGGGGGACAGCCGGGGACCCGGCTACATCACCATCCTCTACGTGGCTCTTCATCTCACTCAACTGCTGCCTGACCTGAAACAGGGAGGGGTGGGTTGTGCAAATACACAGCTGGATGCCGGCACTCACGCACGGCCCCCCAGGAGGACCGCAGGCGTTCTCAGCAGCTGAAGCCCCCACGGGGGACCTGGGTTGATAACAGTGACCTGTGTCAGGCTCCCATACGGGTTCACTGGGGCAGGAGGGCCAGTGCCACAACCCCTCACCTGAGCCAAACTGAGGCCTAGGGAGCATGTGGTGCTCTGCTCCAAGGCCAGCCGGCATGGAGCCCTCCCCAGGGAGCCAGGGACCCCTGAGGGATGCAGCACACACAGAGCTAAGGAAGCCGAAGGGAGGAGAGGCGGCCGGCAGGCTCAGCACGGACAACACGGCCCATGCCCCACACCCCTTCTAGACACAGTCACTGTTCAGGGTCCTCCCGGAGTCTAGAGAAGATGCTGGGCGAAGCCTCTCATCTAGTAAGGTTCCCCAACCCTGGGCTCCATCGCTGGTGGCCCCTGAGCCCCCAGACCAAATTTGAAGGGGCAGCACTGTCACCCACGAAGCTTGGGTAAAGGTTCTGGGCAGGGCTCTGGGTGGGCCCTTGGCACAAGTGTGTGGGGCCTGCCCCCCGACCTCCTTCCCTCCTGCCAACGGCCCTGAAAGTGATCGCCAAACTGCACAGGCCAGCGACGACCGGAAGCTCTGGGGCCCGGACCCACTGTGGACAACAGCTTTGGAGAGTGGCCCTCGGACTCAGCCAGAGTGTGTGCCCAACGCAGGGCCTGCTCAGCGGAGGCGGCTGTGGGACCGCCAGCCCCAAACACCACACCTTCGTCTCCTCTCAGAAAACCAGACGCTTAAGTTCGGATCCAAAATCTCCCAATGTCTACATGTTAACCAATTCAAGGTTTTTAAAAAGCCTGTGCAGATCACGCAGCACGTGTCCGTGGCCTCACAGGCTGCTGCTTGCGGCCCAGCCCGAGCTGGGACTGGGACTGGGGAGGTCCCTCTCCTGTCAGGCTGGGCTGACCTTGTCAAAGAGCGGGGACCAGGATCACATGTCAAGGCTGAAAACCAGGAGAACCAGAGGCCCCTGCGCAGCTGGGGGACATCCGTACCTGCCCGCCCGCAGGCTTGACTGGACTGGGTGGGTCTAAGCCACTGCTGGGAGAGAAAGGACCCCAGTCCCACCAAGGGCCACAGGGTGGGGGGACCCCCAGCTCCCGGACCAGAGGCTGGGCTGCCCTAGGGGCTGGGAAGCAGAAGTGGGCACCGTGGTCCCGGCAGACTCGGGCCCAGCTTGGACCATTGAAATAATGGGCAAGGAGCCTGCTCAGCAGCCTGGCCCCAGCCCTGAAGCGCGGACCCCCTCCACACAGCTGGCACGTGCACCCCACACACACCTGACCCCGCGTCACACGCCCGCCACACCGAGTTCACTCACCAGGGCAAGCTCACTGCTTTGTTTCTGGGCTTCACTCTTGGCTGCGTCCAGTTGAGACTGAGATTCTAATAGAAGTTGCCTCAACTTGGACAGAGAACAGACCCCGGTGATGGGGGGAAAGGAGAGAGAAAGTCAGTTCCTTTGAGTCAGCAACTCAGCACCCCATCTTGTCCCCAGTGCCCGAGGACATGGTGGGGCGGTGCCGGGGGTGGAGCATCTGCTCTGAGGAGCCGGGAGGCCCGAGCGCAGTACACGACTATTTCCGGCCCTTGCAAATGTTTACAGACCATCCTCTGCTAAATGAGGCCAAAAGTTTTAGATCAAACCAGAAGGGAGGGAGCTGGTTTGCTCCTTCTGCTTCCAAAGTCAGGAAACTCTGTCAGGTTTAAATGTGGACACCAGAGAGGGTGTCCCCACACCAGGTAGAGAATCCTGCTGCCAGGCTGACCTGGCTTCACCCCTGTCCGGTCCCCAGGGCGGCCTTTCTGCCACCTGCCCTGTGACACACTCATCAGCTGGTGGTCCCAGGCCTAAGGCACAAGCTCTCTGAGCAGGCTGCTGAGGAGAGGCCCCTCCAGGCCGGCCTGACGCGGCCGGGAGACTCACCCCCGCCACCTCCTGGGCGTAGCTCTGGCACTCGGCGCTGGCGGCCGCCATGTGCTTCTCCAGCTCGGCCTCTAGGTGTGAGGTGCGCTCCTTCACCTGGACACACGTGCACACACAAAGTGTCAGAGGCTCCAGCCACGCAGCAGGCGGGCCAGAGCCACAGGACGGGGAGACAGACCGACAAGGCAGGCTGGCCCTGGGATAAGGGCTGAGAGGAGGCCTCGCCTCTCCTGGGCCAACAGAGGCCAGGCGGGCGTGAGCCCGGGCACCCCGACCCCAGCACCAGGTTTCCCTGTGAGGTGGGCGAAGGGGACCGGCTCCAAGGCCTGATGGGGGCGCCAGGCAGCCCCGCTTCACCAGGGCTGGGCCTGCCACCTCCCACCACCCCAAGATCGTAAGGCTCATTAAGAAAAAGCTGGGCTGAGAGATCCAGAAGCTTCTCTAAGATACGTGGTCCTCGAGGGACAACGACTGAAGGAGCCTCTGGGGTGACCTCTGGGACAGGAGAGCCCCTCTGAACAGAGCCCCATGTACCTGATCTGAACTTTCGAGTTCTCCTTTCAGCTTCTCGACAATCTCTTCAAGATGTTTCACTGTGACCCGTGACTACAAAGCAAAGGGACAGCCACTAAAGACAAGCGGTGGTGGGGCGGGGCTGTCCCCAGACGCGGCACCATGTGTCCTAATGGACTGTCCTGAGGCCGAGCAGCCCAGGCCCCCCTCTCAGGAAGCCCAGGGGTGCCCACAGCCCCCAGGTGTGACCAGCAGCCTCCTCCTGGCATTCTGCAGTCACACTTCGTGTGATGTTACCAAAACCCAGCAGACATGATCCCCAAGTCACCCAGATAATTCCATCAGTGTTCCTGTGGATTTGATGGAATTCCAACCCAGCCGCCTGACTAGAGTGAGTTAAGTTTGGATTCCCAGGGAAGGTGGGCCCTGGGGGACGCAGGGGCCGGCAGTACCTTCTGGAGCTCCTCCTCCGTGGCGCTCACCCGGGCCTTCCACACCTGCTCCTCCTCCTCCACGCTCTTCTGCAGGTCCTTGAGCATGCCCTCCTGCGGGACGTGGGCACTGAGCGGGGCCTTCCAGGGTCCCCTACACTGTACCCTCCTGCCCCCAAGGCTCCCACCGGGGACCACCTGGCTGCAATGCGGCTCCGCCCAGATCCCAATCCAGGGAGGAGGGTGGGCAGTCCTGCAGCAGGGCCCACTGGCTAGTGTGCAAAGAAGGCCACGAGGACTCTCATCTCTGATGGGTTTGCCACCAGCACTGGCCTCGAGGTCCCAGGAAAGGCGCACAGGACGGGGTGGTCAGAGCTGGAGGGCTGGACCGAGCATGGCTCTCGGAGCCACAGGAAAGTGGCTTTGAGCTGGTGTCGGCCACACACTCACCTCTCCCTTCCCCAGACTGCTGCCACCGAGGCTGTCCACTACCCCGACCTCTAACCTGAGCACCTGACTCACCCCTTTTACGACTCAGCCAAAGAGAGGGGCCCAGAGAGGGGCAGAGAGACAGCGTTCCAGCCCACGGCCTCTCCCCACTGGCCTCCCGCCTTCAGCCCCGGGGAGCCCTGCGTCCCCGCCCGCCTCACCGTCTCGGCCAGGATGGTGCGGTACTGGTCACACTCGGCCTGCAGGCTGCTCTGCGTCTCCTCCGCCTCCCTGAGCTTGGAGGCCAGGTCCTAAGGGCAGAGGGCAGAACAGGGAGCTGGTGAGCCAAACCCAAGGGATTCTCCCGGCTGCTGGCTGACTGGCTCCAGGTACCCTCCGTCCCGGGGACCAGGGAGGGCGCCTGTGGCCCCGCACTCACCAAGGGCTCTGGGTTCGCTGGCGGCGGTTTCAGCAGCTCAGGGCCTTTCTCTTTGAGCTCCTGCAGCCATTCGGAATAATTCTGCACAGAAATGTTTCGGGTTGGGCCCGGACGTTCCCCATGTGCAGTGCAATGGGGCCCCCGGGAGCTGCCTCCCCTCCTACCTGGTGGGCCGAGTTGGAAAGCGCCGGGAGCAGGGCCAGCAGGGCCTCCTTGGTCTGGGCCTCGGTCAGGCTGAGCTGCTTCTCTGACTCCTCCTGGAGGAAGGGTGGGGGTCAGCATGGAGCTTAGGGCAACTCCAGGGGTGTTTATCTCAGAAAGCCATCCTCAGCTCTTCAGCAGAGGGTCAAGAATTGGAGACCAGTGATGGCTCCATGTAGCCACTGGGCGGGTGGGCGGAGGTGGTAATCTCAGCAGCCAAGTTCTGGCCAGCCCAGCCCAGGCCGGGTCAACTTTAAACACACTGAGCTCTAAGGAAGAGGATGGAGGGCTGGCCCTCATGCCGGGTGCGGGTGCCAAGTGTGTGCACATGGAGGCGGGCAGAGAAGAGGTGCGTCTCCCAGCGGCCACGAGTCAGGAGCTTCTGCAACCCTGGGGAGGGAGGACCTGTGCTCCCACAGAGGCCGTGATCTTCGTGGGGTGGCCTGTCCAGTGCCACGTGCTGCAGCCACGCCAGCCAGAGCCCCATCCGTCCTCTGTGCTGCTCCCATTCAAAGCGAGGAGGAGCCGAAGGAGGAGGGAAGGGGCTAGAAGGCAAAGCCGAGGACAGCAGCGTCCCTGGGAACAGATAACCCTCTCCCTACACCCTAGGCGGTGGCTGCAGGAGATTCCTGGCTGAAGTCCTATCTGATAACCTGTCCCCAGCAGGCTGAACCTGCCGCGGCCCCTCACAGCCCGAGACCCCAGGGGGGCACTAGGAACTCCGACTGGGTCAGAGCCAGGAGCCATGCTCTGGAATGTGCCTATGGGGGACGGCTGACAAACGGACGCCCAGCCTGACCTCAGCACCCATGTTATCTGGCTCAAGTCTCGAGCTGATGCCCAGCGACCCACAGACGATGCCTATGGCCTGTCGTGGGCCACTGACCTTGTGATCACCACTCAGGCGCCCCATCCCGAGAGTCCGAGGCAAGAGCTAGACGAGCAGAGGCCAGCTCCTGTCTTTATCTGGCTGAGTGACCGCGAGCATGTCAGGTGACACCTCTGGTCATAGCTTCTGCATATGCCATGGAAAGGCCAGGCGGGTGCCCAGGTCGCTTCTGGGGAGTCTAAGTACAGCTCCACTGCAGACCCAAGGCCAGCACCCCCTCTGCCTCTCTGGGGAACTCATCTGGCACAACCCCAGGCTTCCTGGGAGGCTAGTGAAAATCCCTGCAAAGCTCACGGTAACAGGACAGACATCCCCCTGCACTGGGGGGGGGGGCAGGGCGGGGCAGGACAGGGCAGGGCTGGCCCCCGGCACCTTTCATCAGGATGGAAACGTGTGGTGAAAGGGGCTGCGAGGTCCTGCCTGCTGCCACTGCTGCCCACGTTCCGGCCGGGGCCCCAGAGGCTTCGTGGGGGCCCCAGACACCCCCGACCTGAGCCTAAGTGCTTGCTGCTCAAGGCTGTCCTTCCCCTAAGGCTCAATCAGAAAACCTCCTGGGCCTGAGAAAGCAGCACACCGTTCAGACGAAATATCAGGGGAGAAAACTAACATGAAGACAGTCCAGGCAGACGGACCAACCAGAGCCCACTGAAGGCAGCGCCGCAGTGGGCTCGGGCCCAGCTGGTAAAAAGCAGACAAGGGCTCACTGTTCCCCTTCCCCTTAAGAACTGGGATGGGGGAGGGAGGGGGCGGAGGACACAGGAGGACGTGGGAGCCCTGGCCCTGGTGGGGATCTCCGAGGCTCCAGGCGGGTGCTGACCTTGGCCTGGGTCAGGGAGCGCAGCTTCTCCTCACAGACCCTTTCAGCCGAGGCCAGAGCCTCCATTGCCTTCCAGTTCTTCTCGCGGAGGTCCTGGGGGAGATGAGGAGACGATCAGCAGCCAGACAGGGCCGACCAGTCTCAGCAGCCTGGAAAGCCCTCTCCAACCCAGGTCTGGACCCCACAGGCCACATCCACTCAGCCTCCCCAGGGGGCCCTGGCACCTTTCAGGGAGATTTGTCTGGAGGAGGAGGGGGAGGGTCACCCGGCTCCTCAGAGAGATGAGGGTCCTAACGGCCAGCTCTGGCCCCTCTGGGCTCTGGTCCAGCCACACACAGGTGGGGGCTTCCAGAGAAGAGTCGAGGGGCAGCCGGCAAGCCCAGGCAGGCAGCCCAGGGAAAGGATGGAGCCAACTCCTGGGCACCCTCTGGAGAGGAGGGGTCTCCAACACCACCCCCCTTCTCCTGATGCCAGGTGACCACGGGATCAGCTGACCCAGGGGGAGTCAGGACTCAAGGAGGACAGTGCTCGTCATCCCCACAGGAGCCCCTTCCCTGTTCCCACATATACAGGAGGCCCTGACACTCACGTTGTTCTTCACTTTCTGCTGCTCGACCGCCTCCTTGAGCTCGGTGGCCTCCTTCTCCAGACACCACAGCTGGGACTCCAGCTCCATGAGGCTGACAGGAGACAGTGGCATCACCACTGGGCTCCGAGGGCCTGTGGTCCCCACAGGTGCTATTTTGGAGGCCCTTCCTCTGCCCAGGCACCCAGAAGCACCCATGAGGCCAAGCCACTCAGTCACCTTCCCAACCCCCTCGCAGGACACGAGTCTCAGGGGAGACCAAGCAGCCACCCCGGCCCCTCCTCTGAGGGCACAGGCCTCAGGGACCACCAGGCTGTGGGGACAGCAGAGCCAGAGCAGCCACCCCAGCCAGTGCAGGGATGGGTCCCAGCCAGTCAGTGTTTCGGGATGCCTTCCCTTCTGGTGAACTGAGCCCAGCTGCCGGGTCCTGCTCGGCCCACAGCATGTGTCGGTGGGCCCTTCCCTGCGGCCGCACCTGCCCTCAAAAGGCCTTCTCGGAGGACACGTGGCTTGAGGCCCCCAGGGCACCGTCATCCACACACCCACTGGGTACACCCAGCTCTGGGCAGCTCCCGACAGGCCCCAGGTCCCCGCTGGGGACAGCAGGACTGTCCTTTGTCCAGAACCTAACCCCGCTGAGACCCAAAGGCTTCCCCTCAGCCTGTGCCCGGGCTCCAAGGAATCAGCCTGGGAGGCCCCCGGGCAAGACACGGTCCCACCTTTCCACACCTCTCTCCAGACTCAAGGCCCAGCAGGCTTTGCCCACCCCCTCATCCAGAAGGTGGGAGATCGACACCACAACTGCACTGGCTGTTCTGAGGAACAGGCTTCAAACAGACTCTTTAATATGTCACCTTCTGTGTTAAGATTTAGAACAGGGCAATCCCCAGGGACACATGAAATCTGAAGTCCAGAAGCCATTATGACCAAACAACTCCAGCATGGGCTGTGCGAGCTGTCCCGACACCCGCCACAGCACCACCTCACTTTTACTCTAAATACAGCTTGCATCTGGCCTTGCAAACGGTTGTTGACTTCTTGGATGTTGGTTTCAGGCCACAGAACTTGACCCCACCCTCGAAGCTCCACTGGGACCCCTCTCAGTTTCTCCCTCAAGCTGCCCACGTCGTGCAGCCGCCAGCCTCTGCAAACCCCTGCAGGAGCATCCACAAAGGCACAGGGCCCTGAGGAAGAGGACACAGCAGGCCAGTGGCAAGGACACTGCCCCCCTTGGTTGACCATCACCCCCTTGGTGGCCACTGCCCAAGTTCCAGAACGTCTGGGGCCAGATTACTCATCTCCAGCCTACAACAAGCCAGTCTGGCCTAGACGCAACTTTCAGATAAACAGTCTGAGGAGGAAATTTTTAAAACCCCTAATTTCTGCCAAAGACATCTGTATGATACAAAAAAACTAGAATCAGCCTGATCTGCACATGACTTAAGTACCTAGTAATCAGCTGTGTGGTCCAAGAATCTGATCTTAAAACACAAGAGGAAAAACCTAAACAAACACAGCCTTCTACCCCCACAAATAACCCGAGAAACAAAGTTTTCCCAAGCTTTCTGGAAAGGCATATGGAGAGGGTTTGCTTTCGAGTCTCCTGCAAGGCACTCTGGGGCCTCTGAGAATCTGATTTCCTTCCCCAGCCCCCAAACCTGAGCCTGAGGCCAGAGATCATGGGCCGTGGCCTGGGGAGGCACCCGGGAGGTGACTCACTGGTGGCAGCAGCCAGAACAAGGGAACCCTGTCAGTGGACGGCCCAGGACACACCGACCACCTGCACACCTCACCTCATGTGGCTGCCCCATGGACCCCTGGCCACGGCAGCCAGGACCACCCCAAGCCTGTGGGCATCTGCTGAGGGACACACACGCTGGAGGTGACGGTGCCCAGGACTCTAGCACCCAAGCCTGAGGCGCCCTGAGGCACCCTACCCAGCTGTGGGCTCCAGTCTCAGCAACGGCAAATGCACAGTCCAAGCAACCACCAAGCCTGGGGCTGGGCCGCTGAAGTCACCTCCCACCACCCCTGCAAACTGATCGGCTCTGAACGGCATCACATCCCAATCTGTGCAAAGAGCCCGCGTAACCTCCCAGCTTCTCCATCCTGGGTGTGCAGCCACTTTCCCGTTTGAATTATGACCTCAGTCCCTAAAGTCCGTCGCCTTGTAGACCTAGAGAGAACTCCCTGACCGCCAGTCCTTCCCGTGGAGATAAGGATGGACGGATGGATGGACAGGCAGCAGGGGGCCTGTCCCCTGCCGCCAAGACGCCAGCCATTCCTCAGGCAGCCAAGCTCCTCAGAGGCAGGGAGCTCTTTGCAAGGCTTCTTTCCTGCCCAGCCTGCCCTGGTCCTCGAGGTGACTGGAGGGACGGGGAAAGGCAGGGCCTGCTCCCAGGGGTCCCAGGCCCGTGCCCAGGCTGCAGTCCTGCCTCCTCTTACCGGGCCTGCTGCTGGTCGGCTTCCGCTCGGCTGGCCTGGAACAAGAGACAGAGAGCCCCATGGTCACCACGAGACGCACCTAGCGCAGCAGGTCGTCAGGGCAGAGCCCCTGCACAGCGAGGGGGACCCTAAGGCGCTCTCCCTCCCCTCCCGACGGCAGACCTGGGCATCCTGGGCCTGGCCGGCCTCCAGCAGAGCCTCGATGGAGCAGATCCTCTCCGCGAGCTGCACGTTCTCGGCCTTGGCCTCGTCGAGCTGCCCGTGCAGGCCGCGCAGCTCCTCGCGCTGGCTCCTCACCTCCGCCTCCGCGGACTGCAGTTTGCTGTGCAGCTCTGGGGGGAAGGGGCGGCGAGCGGGTCGGGGCGGGGAAGGCCAGGAGGGACACCCCCACGCTGCCGCAGCCCACGCCCCGCCCGCGCTGTGCGCTCCCGACCCCGGGGCGTCTTATCAGCTGGTGGAGAAAGTGATGCCCTGGCTTCTTCTCAAGGACTCACTCGGGGAGAAGGGGACGCCCTCAGACCACTCGGGAAAACGACGGAAAGAAACCTACACAGGTTCCAGGTGCACTTTCTAAAACCTTGTCCTCCAGGTCAGCTGGCGTTAGCCGAGACTGGGGGCAGAGGGCTTCTCGGCATGTCCTTCCCCCTCGGTGACCTTCGCTGCTAAATCCCATGGCTCTGAATGTCACCACGTGTCTGTGACTCCACACAGTCCCCAAGCCCTGGCTCGGCCGGCAGCCACTTCCAAACAGAGCTCTGCCGAGGCCGCTCACACCCAGCACTGCGGCCGCCATGTCTCCTGGTCGTCTCCCACTCTGCCCCAATCTCTAACCCACCTTCCAGGCCTGTGAAGTCAACAGCCATCGTCTGCCAGGTCCTCACCAGCGCCTCTGTGGCTGCCTGGGCCCAGCCCTGCTGCCTCTGGCCTGAATGACCACGAGAGCCCCATCCCTGGTCCCCAGGCCACCCCTGCCCCTCAGTCCTTTCTCCACCCAGCGCCAGAGCAGCTGCAAGTGCAAATGGGATCATAGCATCCCTCTGCCCAAGCCCTGGCCCTCTCATCACTGCACACAGCGCCCAAACTCTTCACAAGAGGCCCACCCGGCCCTGCCCATCTGGCCCCACACTAGCCTCCGCCTTCTTCCCCTCGTTGACCTTCTGTGTCTGTTTCTTGCACAGGCCAAGTTCAAGTTCCTCCCTATTCTCAGGGGCTCCATGCTGGCCACTTCTGCCCTTTCTGTTCTTTGTGAGGCCAGCCCCTTCCCATCACCCAGACCTTGTCTGAAACATCCCTTTCTCAGCAGGGAGGTCTCCCCTGACCACCCAATCTAAAGCCACACCTGGCCCATTATAGCAGGAGGCAGCAGACCAGGCCCGTGGGCCACCGCTGGCCCACCACCCATGTTTGTAAATAAAGTTTTATTGGCACACAGCCAGGCCTGTCTGTCCGTCTGCTGTCCAGGGCTGCTTCTGGACTGGGGCAGCACAGCTGAGCAGTTGTGACAAACACCATCTGGCCTACAAAGCCAAAAGTGTTTACTACCTGGTCCTTCACACACCCTGCTTGCCGTCTCTAGGACCTGCTCTGGCGACATCAGCTACCTGAAGTCTGTCGAGCACAGGGCTGTTGAGCTGGTCGATGCGGACTGTCCACTGACTGTGCCATCTATCTGTCCAGCTAGAGCATGGCCCTGACCCCGCTCAGCCCCTCCCAGTTGCTCTGGAAATACTGTTAAGCAAGTGACGGTGGAGCTGTCACTGACACCGTGCACCCTACTGCTCCAGGGGCCCTCAGTGGCCTGGACTTCACCACCCCTCCTGATTGGGAGGATGACCTGTGAACACAGGTGATCAATAGGCCCACCTTCTAAATCTGGCCTCCTGGCTGACTTAGCTGGAAGAGCCAGAGAGGGCCAGGAGTCAGCCCAGAAGGCAGCGACTGCTCAGGAGCACCTGGGCTCCAGGTGGGGCCCACAGCAGGCGAGGTGCAAGGTGGCAGCACCTTTCACCCCCACCTCCCTCCCCGGGTCCGCCTCACAGGCTCCGCCCCTCACCCCACCTCCAGCCCTCAGGCTCCACCCCAACGTCCAGTCCTCCTGACCCCAGGCCTGACCCTGCACACCTCCAGCTTGTCCTCCGACGGGGTGCGGTCCCTGCCTGGCCGACTTCCTCGAGGGCAGAGCCAGGGATTCCCAAGCTTCCCTCGCTCGCCCCCAGGCTGGCCCGTCTAGGGGTGCTGGCCGGCTCTAGGGGTACTGGCCCCGGCCTGGATGCTGCCCTCACCAGCCATCTGCTGCTGCTGCTCCTGGGCCTTCTCGGCGTCCGCCCGGAGGCTGGCGTGGCTGGTCTGCGAGCGGCAGAGCTCTCGGCTGACCTCGTCCAGGCGCTTCTGCAAGGCCTCCTCACTCTCCTTGTGAGACGCCTGGTGACAGGGCAGCGGGAAGAGGGCCGTGAGGATGCAGGCGGGAAGCTGGACCCTCAGCCAGCTCGGCGGTTGAGCCCGACAGAGAGCTCCTCACACCTGCCAGCCTGCACTGACAACGTTTACAAACCCCCTGGATTTCTCAGGCCAACTGACTAGAAAAAGCCCGGAGGCCGTATCCGCCTGACCCCTGAAGAGTGGGATCCAGGGGAAGGAGCCTCAGGTGCAGGAAGGAAAAGACCCACTTCACTGCGGCGCAGGGAGAGGCTTCCTACAACCTAACCCTCCAGCCTGACCTGGGGGTTCCCCAGATGGATCTGTTACAGGTCACAGTTACTGGGCATTTCTGGGGAGACTGAGGCTCACTGTCAACACCACGGGGGCCAACGAGGCAGCCGCACGCCCCCGCCTCCCCCACCACTCGCGGTCAGCCGTGCCCAGAACCTCTGGCGTCAGAGGGAAAGAACGGACTCTGTGTGGCCGAGGACCCCGAGACCTGGAGGGCAGGAGGTGCTCAGTCTGGGCCTTACTGGTGGGAGCCAGGCCCAGGCCAGGCCCTTAGGAATCTCACATGTGGTGGAGATACCTGGGCACCGGAGTGGACGTTCCAGCCCAGCGGCACCAGAACCACGTGAGAGCCTTTAGCTCCATCACAGCCACGCCGCCCCCAGCGGTCCTGAACTCACTGGTCTGGCTGGTCCTACTTTACATGAAAATCAGTAAACACCAAGTTATCCATCTCAATTCCACCCAAACGACCCAGACTTTACCTGTTCCTTTTCTCTTTTAGTCCCTTGCACACAAACGTCAGTTTGACAGTTTCCTGTTTGTCATTCTAGTCCCTTCCATAAAACAGCCCCACTGCCCCACATGCAGAAGCCTAGCTTCAGAGACTGAGCAGGAACCAGGCACACAGCCTTGCGGGTCTCCAGGATTTCCTTGTTCTCCAGAAAATTTCAAGCACAGCAGGTGTGACATCAAGGCCCCCCACAGACATGACAACTGCCCCACGCCTGTGCACCCTGCCCTGAAACAGGCCAGCTGGGGAAGCAGAACCCGTCAGGCCAGTGGACAGCAGGGCCGCTAGGCTCAGGGCCACATGGGATTTGCCCAGTGCACTTCGGGGTGGGCAGGGGGTGGGGCACAACAGTCCTCCCCCTGGAGAACAGACATCCTCCTGGGAAAACACGAGCTTCCAGGCCACATCCAGAGGCCGAGAAGGAAGAACACTCTGGCCCTGAAGCCGGAGGCTGTGTGAGCGTGCCTGGAGCCGCACGCTGCAGGTGGGGGAGGGGGGGAGGCTGACACTGCTCTGGGGATCCCCAGGGCTCACACCCTGGCTCTGTGTGAACCTAAGGGAGCTGCTTAACTCTGGGCCTTAGATTTCCTACTGAATAAATCACAGATAACAACAGTACCTCCTCGTGAGGTTACAATGAGAATTAACTAAGTTAATGCTTATGTGAAGTTTACAACGAGCAGCACGTAAAAAGCACCCACTCAGTGGCACCCAGCCATCACTACTAACAAGGCCAAGGTGTGCGTTCCAGCCCCAGCCCTGCCCGAGTCTCCGGCCGGCACAGACACAGCCGGGAAGGGATGAGCCAGTGCGGCCGGCCAAGCCCTGGCCTGCCGGCTGCGCAGAGGGGCTTGGTGGGCGGGATGCTCGGGCACCGAGGTGGCTGCCACCCCGACCCACCTGCAGCTGAAGGATCTGCTTCTCGAAGGCGGCTGCCTTGGCCTCCAGAGCTTTCCGCTGCTGCTCCTCCTGCCGAGCGGCCTCCGACTTCTCCATCAGCTCCTTGCTGACCTTGCCGAGCTCCTGCCGGAGCTTCGCCAGCTCTGCATTCTGCCTGCAAGACAGTCACCAACCCCTGACTGACGGTCGAAAGAGGGTTCAAGTCAGCTCTCGGGGGCCCTGAGAGTTGCCTTGGACAATGGGGACGGCGCTCTGAGCCTTTCCTCCAGGGCACCTGCTCTTTCTTAAGCAGTTTCCCACGTCTTGGAGCCATTTCCAAAGTCCCTCTAGGTCATCAGCCATGTGAGATGTGATGTGTTTCATTGAAGATGCTGTTTTAGAAGCACGGCAGTGGAACAGCGAGCAAGGGCAAAGAGCAAAATGTGCATTAAAGCAGCCCATAGAGCCCATCCAGAGAAAGCTGATTCCTCATTGCTGACCTGGGCCCAAATGAGCCCTGAGACGCGGCTGACCTGCCTCACTGCCCTGCAGGGCCAGGGGCAGCGGCCCACTCGGGTCCGTGCACCAGACTTACTGGCCAGTTGGACCACGGCCGGGCCGAGGAGGCCACTCGAAGCAGGAGGCTGCTGCATTTAGTGAAACACACCCCTCAACACTGCCCTAAAGCTGGGTCTCCAGACGGCAGAGGAAGTGCTGGAATGACAGAAGGAAACTTGATTGACAGGAAAAGGGGGCAGCCTTTTCCAGGGTGTGGAGGTCCCCAGCATGCTGGCCTCCTTCACTAGCACAAAAGACACCTCGTCAAGGCAGGACTGACTGTCCAGACAAGATGAAGGGGACAGACAAGGCTGTCCATAACCCGAGGAGGCAGGAAACCTGGCGAAGACCAGCTCTGCTCTGCGGGTTCATCACCTGCACAGGGGAGGCTGCCCCAAAGCCCTCTGCAGGGCTGCACACGCCAAGATTCAAGACTGGAGGGCTCACACCAGAGCCGGACTCCACACCCTGGGGTGGGGGTGGGAGGCTGGCTGGGAGGCCCCGAGGGACTAACGTGAAGCTCGGGGGGGGGGGCCCTGGGGACACCTGTCCTACACGGCAGAGCTTCCACAGACGGACGGCGTCAGCCACCACCCTCTCAGTGACAGGTCTCCGGGCATCAGAGCTGTCCCCAGGCTGGAGGATGCAGCAGATCCTCCACGAGAAGGAAGTCAGAGTGTCCCTCTGTCCCCACGGTCACCTGCTGCTGTGACTGCTGAGGAAACCCAGCCGCAAACCACCAAGTTGCCAACCAGCCAGGATGGAGGTGAAGACAGGGACCTCCCAGCAGAAGGGACCAGCCGGGTGAGGGTGGCCTCAGTGGTCTGGGGGGCACACGTGTCCCTCCCAGTGCTGCGCGTGGGCAACACCCTCCCCACCTCCCAGGGTGCCTGTCCTTGCTGCTCCTGTCAATCTCCTCCAGGACGAAGAGGACGTTCCAGGGATGATGAGAACCCCAGAAAGTCCCTTCGGGACACCCCAGGCCAAGAGAAGGCAAAGAAATGTGAATCAAGAGAAAACGCAGTGGGGCTTCCTCTGGGCCGGCCTACTGACCGGTGACGCTCAAAGCAGGGACTTAAAACAAAGTGTCCTGTAAACAGGGGCCCCGCCTGCTCGCAGACACTCCCGAGCTCCTCAGCAGAAACGCTGAGAGCGAGCCCCGTTACCACAGCACGGTGGCGGCAGGGGGGCCCTCCCACACAGGCGACTCCACCAGCAGGTGTCAAGGCGCTCAGGCCCACGACAGGCCCCTACACCACCCCAGGCTCTGATCCTGGACCGTCAGCTTGGCTTTGATACTCTGGGCCCAAACCAGGAGTTTTTAAAAGCTTCATGTCTAAATACTGTAAAGGTAGACATGAAAAAAATACCTGCTCTCCCAGGAAAGCAAGATGCTGACAGCATCTGAGGGGGACACAAGCAGGATGTGGCCTGGCCACGTGAGAGGACTCAGCCGCTCAGGACCAGCCCGGAGGCGGAGGGGCAGGACGGAGCCCACAGGGGAGGCAGGGAGCCCGCATCCGGCCCAGGGCCCCGAGGCACCGAGCTCACCTGCTCTCCACCTGGCTCGTGGCCTGGTTCAAGGCATCTCTCAGGATGGAGTTCTCCTGCTGCAGGCGGGCCAGCTGCGTGTTGGGGCCGTTTTCCAGCTGTTCCTGGAGAGTTCGGATCTGAAAAGTCATTCAAGGGGCATCAGAGAGCCACTCGGCCTTCAAAGAGAACCACCTCGGAAGCAAAGTGAGCGAGGTCAGCCCAGCTGACAACCCCCGGGGGGCTCCGCCTTCTCCACACAATGGGTGTGCACCCCTGAGAACAGGGGGCCTGCAAAGGGCACAGCAAAGGGCTCAGCCCGAAGCCCCAGACGTGCTGCGTGTGCTCTGCCTCTGACCGAGGTCACGGGCGGCCTGCTCTGGGACACAGCAGCCAGCGACAAGCCATAGCCTACAAATGCCCCAAGGAAGGCCCGTTTCCGGCCCTCTGACCTCCCATGGCATGGCCCACCGTGAGCAGAGTGCAGCTTGAGAAGGTAAGGCTCGGGGCTTGGACCCGTAGGTCAGCCCTCCGCTGGCCTCGGGCCCCATGCTGAGGTTTTGTGGTTTTCAGGCCTCGTTTCACGGGGTCCTCCCAACCTCGCATGGTGGAGGCGGGGCTGGCGTTACTCCAAGGTCACAGGAAAGCTGTGAACTTGATCCATGGACAGCCAGGGGACGGGACACAGGGCTGACCACTTGGGACCAGAGTATTTTCAAAAAGGGCTCTTTAAAATATATTTACACCTTCCTGGTTGTTAACAGTAAACACACACACGGCAGGCTGGCTAACACCATCTGCCTGAGAAAACACCCGCTCCCTCCAAAATCAAACCAGATCCCAAGGCCCCTCTCAGCAGGCATCTTCGACTGCCCTGGGGGGCGGCTCCAGCTCCCGGCCCCACAGCCGCTGCCCACCTTGCCCTGCAGCTGCTGCACCTCCTTCACGTGCTCCCGGTAGCTGGCCTGCATGCGAGCCTGCACGGCTGTGATCTCCTGCTCCCGGGCCACGAGCTGCTTTTTCACCTTGGCCTCCCCAGCTGCGGCCTTGGCCTTTTCCGTTGCCAGCTCCTGGGAGAAAGCAGAGGGCAGGGGGGCCAGTTAGGCAGATGGGGGCAGGAGCTTACTGGATGAAACCATGATGATCACAACCCAGAGCGTGACCTGGGGCTGGAGAGGCCGGGCAGCAGGGCCGCGAGCTCTCGCACAGCCCCAAGCAGCCACAGTGGCGAACAAGCAGGGGGCCCTTGGTGGAAGGCTGGCTGTCGGGCCTTGACCACAGCAGACACTGGTAGGAGCTGGGTAACACAGCATCCTGTCCCTGGCTGAGCCCTGCTGGGATTATAATGCCCTGGTTTGGCTCAGTCCCCCAAATCCAGGCCCCTGAATGCCCACTTCTATTCGAGCACCTTGGCCAGGACCCACAAGGCAGCAAGGCTCAGTGCCTAGGGGTCAGTCCCACTCCTGGAGTGCCTGGGTCTCCATGGGCAGCCACTCGGTCCTCCACCCCAGCCCAGGGGACAACTACTCCGGTCAGCAATGGATGCCCACAATGAACACAGGCAGTGGGGCCTGGGGACCCGGAGCCTCAGACCAGGAAAGAGCACATGGTGGGAAGGGCTGGCCGAGGTCTCTGTCATCCTGGAAGGAATGGCAGTGGACAGAAGGCACAGGGAAGCAGGGGGTGACAGTAGAGGAAGGGTTGATGAAACAGGCTCCTGAGGTGGGGGGCCCCTGTCCAGCAGGCCTCCAGTCCAGACTGGCCACTACTTGGTATGGGCCCAGCTGGTCCCATGAGACTCAAAGCCCTTCTCCAGCCTGGGCAGTAGGCCAGAGAAGTGGGAAGTCCTCTCCTCCTCCAGGCCAGGGTTGTCAGGGAAGCCCATCCCGAAGAGTCAGAGTAGCTGAGATGTCTGAGATGGGAGAGAACTGGAGGCCAGGGAAGGGCTGGCCTGATCGGGGTGGCCTCTGGGTGTCAGGGCTGCTCTGGGTGCCTGGCATTCCCTGGGACCACCTGCCCCACTTTTCAAAGACAATCAGCTTCCTGGCTCCACCGAGGGCAAGAGCCCACAGAAGCACGAGATCCACGCTAAGAACACTTCACCGATGACATACAGAAATGGGCAGGGTGGGGAGAAGGGCTGGCACTATGCCCGCTAGGGGACAAGCATGTGTCTCATTCAGTTCTCTTAGGAAAGTGAAGATTCCCATCCCTAGTTTAAAGCTGAGCCCACTGAGCCTCAAGGAGAACGTGCGGCCCAAGGCTAGAGAGCAGCTCTAAGTGGCAGGAGCCTGGGACTGCGCAAGCCCACGAGGGTCCCGGGAAGGGGTGGAGTGATGAGGTTCCCTCTCCTCTGGCTGGCCCGGGCGCCTCTACGGAAGCAGGAGAGGGCAGCTCAAGGGGCATCAGGGCACCCCCAGGCTTCCTCTAACACGCATACCCCCACCGGCCCCACCAGAATGGGCGTGGTGGGGAGCACCCAGAAGACCCCTCGACGTACATGATCAGAGATGCCCTGACGTGCTCACAGCCACACCGGCAGTGAGTGACACAGCCACACGTGGGCCATCCTCTGCCCGTCTCTGCTCACCACCCTGGGCCAGACCCAGAGGCTGGCACTGAGCATCTGTCTGGGGACAGCCTTCCCTACCCTGAGCGGATCCCGTGCAGTTGTGGGCAT